GAGGGAGAGGAAAATTTACACACATACGACACAGAACATTTGATTAAATCTCATTGGCCAACTTTAATCACGATTATTGAAGATTTTTCTGCGTTTTTATTGGCTTGTTTAATTTCCGGGGGACAGCTAACCGGACGGCCTAACGCTAAGTCCAAAATAATTTTGTACGTATATGTGAATTAACGTTAAGGATAATTGGACTTGAGGCTAAGGCTAATTGGACTTGAGCTCGTTTTCTGCTAGCCCAACCAGATTTTGCAACGTCACAAAATGATCTACAAAAATTAACCAATCAGAATGAAAGCCCGCTATGCTGATGCGGCATATTATCTTTCTTTCAAATATATTGTCGTAATTGAGGCAAAAAGAATGCATAACGACAATATATAATTCTTTACCAAAATAACGGAAATATCTATAAAGAGGAGATTGAACTCAAGTTAAAGAGTTTCACGGTTTAAACAAGATCCTTGTGCAAAAGAAAAAAAAAAGACCTTGTAACTCAGTCCGTACATAACGAATAATCAAAAGTTTCGAAATGTCAGTTGCACCGAGTACCTTGGACATTAATGAACTTTTTGATGTAAGCTCTCAGGTCGAAACTGAGGATGTCCCAAATGGTGAATCGCCAAAGAAAAAGCAAAAAGAAAACGGACAATTCAAAGACATTAAAGATGTGGAGATACCTCCACTTCCTGAAGTGGCAAGACAAGACCTCATCGCCCGTAATTATCAAATTGAACTTTTTGAAAAGGCAAAGAAAGACAATGTCATTGCAGTTTTAGATACTGGTAGCGGAAAGACCTTTATTGCTGTAATGCTCATAAAAGAAATAGCTGCGAAAGAACGGTTATTAAGAATGCAACGAAGAGAGGTAATTAATGGTTCCAAACAAACGCCATCAAACGTGAACCATTGTATTATAATTGTATTTATAATTCATTGAATATCATACTCGAAATTTTTAAAGACCAAGCTCACATTCTTTCTGGTGAATCTCGTTCCTTTGGTGTTCCAACAAGCCAACGTGATCGAAGCAAACTGTGATCTTAAGGTCAAACATTTTTGTGGTGAAATGGGCGTTGATCTTTGGAGCGAAAAAGAATGGCGAAAAAATTTTGAAAATTATGATGTACTTGTCATGACCGCACAAATATTTTTAAATATTTTGCGCCATGGATTTATCTCACTGTCACAGGTCAGTGTTGATCATTGTTAATTTAATTATTTATCAACAATACCAAAATTTTGATTAAATGTCGTGAAAGATATCTTGTCATTTCGGATTTTTTTGCAACAGCTATTTTTTCTTATGTCCTACAATATATAGGTTAATTTGTTAGTATTTGATGAATGCCATCATGCTTCAAAGAAACATCCTTACAATTTGATTATGAGAGAATTTTATGACAGATGTCCTGAGGAAAGTAAACCAAAAATATTTGGCATGACGGCATCTCCCGTAAATACTCGTAGTGCCCTTCATTCTGCTAGGTACAGAATTTATTGCAGGCACTCATATCGCATTGTTGAGGGTGTTTGCTCATATTAATAATCTAATCAGTCATTTGATTTAGTCATTTGGAGCATAACTTGAATGCCAGAGTATTTACAGCAAGTGATACAGATGAGGTTTGCAAATTTGTAAGTAGACCTGACGAGATTTCTATAAAATACGATTCGCCTCCTAGATATGCTCCTACTGAGCTTTTCAACAAGCTCAAGGAAGAATACCTTGATGTCGAAAAATTCAGTCGAGCATTATTAAGCGCACAACAAGCGCTTCAAGCTCTTGGTCCGTGGTGCTCCGATCGTGTTTGGAAATATATTTTGGATGAAATGCATGAGAAGTCTGAAGGTAAATTAAGTCCAGAACTTTGTGCAGAATCGCAAGAAGAAGAACGTCTTGTGCGAAAAGCTATGGATATCGTCAATGAATGGAACTTTCAACCTCCAAAGTGTGAACAAGAGGTTTTATCGCCAAAAGTAATCCAGTTAATTAATATCCTAAAGTGCTTTAAAGATCAAACTGATAATTTTTGTGGAATTGTTTTTGTTGAACGTCGACACACAGCCAATGTTCTTCATCTTCTAATAAAAGAGACTGAGGAGCTCTATTTTATTAAATCTGGTGTACTTGTGGGTCACGGTTCTCACGAGGAAGGTGATTTACAGATGAAATTCAAAGAGCAAAACAAAACTATTAATGCATTCCGTGATGGTAGAATTAATTTACTGATCGCCACCAATGTAGCTGAGGAAGGATTGGATATTCAACCTTGTAACGTTGTCATCCGGTATTAATTGTTTCTACTCATTATTGTGGTGTGCATGAAGTTGTTCTCTATTAATAATATATATGATAAAATTTCAATAGCTTTGATTTTTTCAATACATTAAGAGCCTATATACAATCTCGAGGCAGAGCTCGACGCAAAGATTCTAAATACATTGTTATGATTGAAAATAATAATTTAAAAGAATATGGTACACTCAGAGAGATGAAACAAGCCGAAAAAGATATGAAAGATTGGTGTCAAATGCTACCAGAAGACCGCAAATTGTTGGGTAATGAAGACGGGGACGATGACGATGATGATGATGACGATGATGACGACGGACATTATTATATTATACCTTCAACAGGTGCACTTTTGAGCTATGAGTCAGCGATATCTTTAGTTTATTATTACTGCTCGAAGCTTCCTGGTGATAATTATTGTATTTTAAGACCAGATTTCAAAATTGAGCGAGAAAATGGTGGTGGGTTCACATGTCATTTGTCATTACCAAACAATGCACCTATACGTCTTGTCACAAGCGAAGTTTCTTCTAGCCGAAGTAATGCTAAGAAAGCAGCGTCTTTTAAGGCATGTCTACAATTATATGAGAAAAAAGCATTAAATGATCATCTCTTACCTGAGATAGAATGGATCGAAGAAGATCATGAAATGACTAAGCCAGTCAAAGATGAATATGGCTTAGTAGAAGGGGCACGAAAATCAAAAAGAGAATACAATCGCAAAAATCCGGACTTATGGAACAACGATGAAGAAGAAATGCCATCAATTCCAGATAAAATTTATGTTACCATTTTGAAATTAGAATTAGAAGACGAAAAATATGATGGACAATATTATCGTACCATGTGTTTATTAACCCGTAAACAATTGCCGGAAGTTCCACCGATTACTTTATATTTTCACAGTGTAGCTAGAGTAATGAATGTACTTCCTCATTCCGTACCAATTAGTATTGAGTCGGAAGACTTGGAGATAATTTTCAAGTTCACATTACGTACATTTACATCCATTATTAACAAAGAATTTGTATGCGAATTTGAGAAGTTCACTTACCTTGTTGCACCACTTGTTCGTAACGCACCAATTAACGAGAATTTTTTTGATTATATTGATTGGGAAGGAATGAGAAGAGCGGTCACCGAAAAACAACTACCAATTGATCTAGACAATATTTCTGATCTAGAAGATGCCGTTATAATTGACTATTCTGATAATTTACGACGATATTTCGTTCAACAAATTTGTCATGACTTAAATCCTTTATCACCCATACCGGATGGCATGGCTATTAGAGAAGTCGGGTGTAAAAATTTTGCCGAATTTTACAAGAAACACTTTGATCTAGAATTAAAACACACTGAACAGCCATTGCTTCATGTACGTAAAATCTCAAAGGTTATGAATTTCTTGCAGCCTGTCCCTGGTTCTTTACCAATTCTGAAAGGTCGAACAGCTACATATGTGATACCGGAGTTTTGTAAACAATACCCCATTAGAGCGTCTGTTTTTCGATCTGCTCTTATGCTACCTGCTATTTTTACAAGGTTGGATTCGCAACTTTTGGCTATGGAATTAGGAACACGATTTGAAATACCTATTAGAGACGACTTACTTTTAGAAGCAATAACTACGCCATCAGCTAATATGGAAATGAACTATGAACGTCTCGAGACGTTGGGTGATTCATTCTTAAAATTTTGCGTTACAAACAGGTTGTACGTTATGTTTCCTGATAAGCACGAGGGCCAATTGCATTGTCAACGTATTCGAATCATTTGCAATAGACAACTTTATCGTGGAGCAAAAAAATTGCACCTTTACGAATATATTACATCATCACCATTTAATCGCAGAACATGGCGTCCCGCAAACATGTTAGCCAATATTGATGATGTCAATATCCTTAAGCAAAATAAAGTTCATGAATTAGCGGATAAAACTCTTGCTGACGTTGTCGAAGCAATGTTAGGAGCTGCTTACATGAGCGGACAAGTTGATGCAGCCCTCAAATGTTCTATAGCTTTGGACATTCAAATGGAAGATATTACTAAGTGGAATGACTTCCATGCTAACAATAAAAACCGACCTCGCGTTAATGCCAAAGCGCTCGATCGAGTAAATGTTGAAAGGATTGAAGAAATATGTGGACATACTTTCAAAAATAAAATTTTGATCGTTGAGGCCTTAACTCATGCGAGTCTTCCGAATTCTGCAACTCCTTGTTATCAACGTCTTGAATTTCTAGGGGATGCAGTACTAGATTTTATGACAGTAAAGTATTTATTTGAGAAATATCCTGATGGAGCACCTGGAATAATGACTGATCTGAAAGATGCGGCTGTCAACAACCAGGTTCTTGGTGCAATTTGTGAGCGAATCAATCTTCACAAGCACATAATTCATTTTTCCAGTAAATTAACGGGTGGAATAACGGAATTCGTTAATGCTGTGAACGAACTGAGAGAAAAGAATGAGGCAGTTGGAGAATATTGGAGTGAATTAGATGTTCCTAAAGTGATGAGTGATGTTGTGGAAAGCATGATGGGAGCCATTTTCGTTGATTCTGAATTTGATCCAGCTGCACTACAAAATGTGTTTGATAAATGGATAAAACCTATTTTAACTGAGCATGTCACCCCTGAAACCTTAAAAGTTCATCCAGTGAAGAAATTAACCGAATATATGCAAAAAGAAGGATGCTTGGAGTTATTATTGAGGTATGTTAATTGTTATTCACATTATCATTAACCTATAATTATTAATATTATCTTTAATTAAAGAAACCATACATCGGAAGAATCGGATACTCAACAATGTACTATATTCATTCATGAAACGCCAGTTGCACATGCAAGTTCGACTAATATTAGGTCAGCAAGAAAGTTGGCGGCCCAGGAGATTTTAGATAAAATTGATGATCCAAAATTCCTTGACAATATTTGTACTTGTATTCGTACAAGATCTGATTCGTTATTCAATGATGATGATGACGAAGTATTATTAGATTGAATATTTTAAGAACCATTTAGCTTATTATTTTTAATGTAATAAAATAAAATATCATATCTGTAAAATACTTTGTTTTTTTTGGTTTTTTTTTTTTTTAAAGGGCGATGTAATATAATTGTGCCGTATTTTTGACTTATTACATAATGGCTACTTGTGTATAAAATGTGATAAACGATTTTTTTGTGGATTCACGGAGAGTACCTAAAAAAATAACACTTGGATGCGCAGATTACGTAAAAAACGATTGATACAATAAGCACCTTTTATGTTAAGCAAGGTTGATAAATTACCAATTGCCGAAAAGTTGTTAAATACATATGGGCCGTGATCTGAGAAAAGGGACGAAATTGACAATTTTTTCAAAAGATTTTTTTTACATAAATCAATTTAGGATAAGATTAGAATCATTTTTCACTTAAGACATAAAAGCAGTTGTATTAATAAAATTTTGCAGTATGGCTCTTTAAAATTTGCATTTTCTTATAATTTATTATAAGATTTACAATATAAAAATTTGATTTTCCGAAGATCTTTTTTTTTTGTCAATTTCGTCCCTTTTCTCAGATCACGGCCCATATGGTAATTTACTATCAAAATTTTGTAAATTAGCAATTATGATATTAAGCCAACCAAAATTTTATACGTTTATATTGTAGGCATATATAGCCTATACTAAAATTTTGTCAAAAATTTTTTTATTAAAATCTATGGGCTAGGTGCTGGGAAAAATGGCCAAAATTGCCAATTTTTTCAAAAATCTTTTTTAAAACTTAATCCAAAATTAGTTCAGGAACAAATACTGTTATTAAAATTTTGCAGTACAACCCTTTAAAGTTTGTATTTTCTTATAATTTATTATAGAATTTATAATAATTTGGGTTCTTTTCTCAGTAATAGCACATATATAAAAGATCGTTTTATAAATTACTATAGGTTTTTTTTACAAGTTTCCAAGTTGCCCATTAATTTTATACTTGAATGGCCAGTTTTAGTATCAGGACTTCGAATCATTATATTTATTGTAGTCTGGCGATCGAACCTCTAATACTTCGCTATGCTATTTGCCCATTGTGACCACATCTAACGCTAAGTTTATCATAAATTTTTTAAATGATAAACGAATCGAAATTGCCTCAAAAACTGTTGCAAAAAAATTGGATTTTTACTATTAAAGCTATTTAGTAGAAAGTAATTTGATTTGTTTCATTCATTTCATGCTCTTGGAAGATATATCAATAACCATTTCGGACTGGTACAAAATTTGAATCGATAATATAAAACTATTTCTTTCTTTCGTTATAAATAAATTCGAATACTCACAAGAATAATTAACTATATAATATGATTAATAATCAGTAACTTAATATTTTTCGTGATCTTTATAATAATTGCTTAAGTAATGTGGGGGATGATGCTGGGAATCGGATGATGCTGGGAATTTGAATTATTTTAATATAAAATTTTAAAAATTTTTTGGGACATTTTTTTAGCCTTTTTTTTAGAGTTAGGTTAGAAT